CGATCATCGGTTACATATTTCCCGCGTTTCGAATTGTAGCAACTCGAGGTGAAAGTTATAGTTGACTAACAGACTCTAGTCTATTCCTCTTAGAAGTTGACTGATGTCAGACTTGGAACGCAGTTGGAATTAATTAAACAAGTGATTTTTTTTTACAGAACCGTACGACGATATGGAATGAAAAACATGAAGGTACAAGCTCTATACGTAATTGTATAACTTGTTTACCTCATCAATGCAAAAGTATCGTTGCTAAAGGTAATTGCGTTTAGTCTGCGCTTTCTTCTTGCTCCTGTCCATCATTTACTCTTAAGGCAGCTTTTATCTTACCTATCATTGTTAAAGTATATATTTAACTATGTACGACTTAATGCTCCGTATCTAACTCTGTCACAGAAGAGCATCTGTCTTTGTAGAAATAAATAAATAAATAAATAAATAAATAAATAAAAATTTCATAAGTCGGGTACGTAATATCACTGGAAGTTTAGGAGTTTTTTGGTTTTTGTTTCTTATCCGTGACGAAACATAATTGACGATAAGCAGGAATGTTCGATGGGGAAAAAAGTATCAAAAGGGATCGAAAAAACGTCGGGAGGCGATGGCACATAGAGCGTCGCGTCGCGTCGGTTGCGTGACGCTCCGCGAATCGTCGGGTGAACATGTGCGTACATAATGAGCCTAATTGTGGAGCGCCTCCGTGAAGAAGAAAAGTCTCCGGAGGAGAGTCGCGAGGTGGTCGAAGGCGCCACGCTCAGGATCCGAGATTACACACGGTCCTCGACTCGGACCGAGTTATGAATAGTACTCATTGTAAGCGACCGGATTGCGTTTATTGCTGCCTTTCACGGCAATTCTATCCCCGCTTCTAAGATGGCCCGTTCCGCAAACGCAACAGCTCGATACATACATATGTACTTATTCGAAATAAATCGATCGGGACACGTCCGCTTTCGATCCGTAATTAAACGATCCCCCTTGCTCTTGTTGTATACCAATGTTACTTATGTTAGCATCTAACATTACACTAATAACATTAAATTAAAACTACCATCAAATGATTGTTTCTCATCAAATGATTGTTAATTACTAATTATATTTCACTATGTAATCACTTAATTCTATTTTATAATAAATATACGTACAACGAACTAGAAGAGTCCTTTATTAATACCCGTGATAAACCGTACCTTCGGACCAAACACTGCATCATTCTTGTACCTTCCTCTCATCACATCATCCTCAAACTCTAATCGTGATATTCCTACTCTTACAAATCCTAATCCCTACCACTCAAACCCGGAACCTATATTTTACTCCGTTTTCCCTCAATTTCGTGCATTTTGTTTTCGAACTTCCTCGTGAGAACTCGAGCAGAATAAAATCGTAGTCTACTGTCAAGAGACTTGTCTGTCTTCGCGTTACCGCATTACTCGTACTATTTTTGATTAAGTATTAATGGAATGCGATACTCTCGAGGAAACACGTTTCACTGACTTCTCAATCACCGAACCAGATTCCATTGACCGTTTTTCCATTCCGTTTCCTTCCCTTCTTTCCCAATCCACACGTACTTTTGCACCTTCTGTGCACCTACTTAAATCAATCCGAGGAGAACATCGCTAGGACTGACTGACATTAATTAACGTGCAGTCGATCGGTCGATTATATTGGTGGCATAGCAAATCGAATTATTCAGTATCATCGATGCTCAGGTAGCACCGTCCGACGTCCCCACGAATTTCAAACGGAAACGCTTCAATTGGCGCGTGATCGATCATCGTATGTACGTCATCGAGGACGAACAACCGGTTGTTCAACACTGATTAAAATTAAAAGTACTGCGACTCGTACTCAATCAAGTAGGAAAGAGAGAAGGCGCCTGACTCCGTAGAAGGGTACTCATAAGAGAGACGAAAGAAGGAAGGAAGAGGGCAGGGCTACGGAACTTATTTTTCTTAACTTTGCACGATGCATTGCTACCGCGTACTGCATAGCGTCTTGTGGGATTAAAAGCATGACGTGGATCGTAAGCTCTGTGTGTTCTTCATATCTCTGACACGTTCGCCTTCAAGGGCTAATGCACGTTTATTTGTTTACCGTTCTACCCTCGAACCCGAAAATGCATTTCTCCGAAGTCGGTGAACTCCCCACCCCCACACGCCTCGCAAATAATCATTGATATTCGACTCCGAACATCGCGGTTCACACTTTGAACTTATCCCAACATCGATCTCCTTTCTTGACTCGTTTCTACCTCTCGCAGTAATGTGCTATGTATGTCCGATGTACGTGCATAGTGCATATAAACGCGTTCTTTCTCAAACATATCGTATTACTTTAACAATATGAAAATCCATTTACCTATCAGGAATTTGCTACACGATGAATTTATTGGATTCTATACAAATTTCTAATAAAAAACCATATACATAAACATGTAATATCTTATTTTTCCCAAAAACTATGCCACGAATTTTTACAAAAACCGCTATTTTTCAGAAACGATACGTGAGAGAGAAGTCCCGCTCCCGGATTTGTTCTTGGCATGAGAAACTCCATAAAAGTCACGTAGCGGATATCAGAAAATATGAAAAAAGTTCGTTTTTGCTGGACTGTATGATTATCGATGAGTAGGAGGATACACGACGAAAAGTTTGCAACGCGTACAAAAGCCATCCCGACCGACGAGTCGAGAACGGGTCATATTCTTCTTCACGGCCGTATTATCACAAACAGGAACGAACGCGTGTAATATGTGTATATACGAGCAAGCCACGGCAAATTCAACCGCATGCCGTACGTAATGTACACCGTATGTGATCCACGGAAAGGATACATGCACATGTACGTATATACACACACGCTCACACGATCGTTGCTCGTATGCGTCTAAACCCGACGTATGTACAAATGTAATTACTGCACATGCTTGTTACAGATTGCTTATTGTTCGCATTCGGACTCTCTCCGTTCCTTTCCTCTACTTTCTTCCCGGTCCGTCTTTCGCCTGTCGCAGATCCCCGATCCTTCCTCTGCGATCAATGTCACAGGGATTAATGTCACAGAGAACGCGGTGCACGCAAGTTCCATTTGCACGGTTATCACCCAGCGTCGACGCGTTATCTGATAATTCCTTACTGCACAATTGCCGTGCACGTTTGCTCACGATCAAAGTCGTCCTTTTATATAGCAATTTCGGACGGAATAAAAGAGGAGCGTCCGAGACGCGACCCGTGGAATTCGCGGGAGGACCTCGCTCGTGGGGGAGTAAAAGAAAACCGGGATATGTTTCTCAGGACGGACGGAAAATCAAACGCGGTCGCCGTGCGTCGATCTGTAATCGAAACCAGTAATTATGCGCGGACATTGGCATGCACGCGGTACAAAGAAGACTGTGCGGATAACAAGGGACCCTATGCCCGGAGCATCGAAAGTAACGAGGGCAAGGATTGATGTCCGTTCATTCGGTACGATGTACTTGGAGAATTATTACGAGGTGTCCGTATTAAAATAAACCGTCGGTGCATACCTGTATGTACGAGTACGGGCGCGTACCAAAAGAGAAAGAACGAGATATCCTCTCGTTAAAATGACGAGTTATCGAAGCCCGATCGACTCTCCGTTCTCGGCTCCGTTTTATACATCCTTTTTTTATTCCCGCTGTGAACCACGCCACACGCTCGCAGTTACGGGACCCGTCGATACAAATCGTGTACAAATTTCGCTCGCTCGCCGCTGTTCGCGTTTTTTATTACGCCGTTACGTCCCTGCGTGTTGTCTCCTCTTATTAATCGAGCCATCGAGCCGAGAAGCGAGTCGTTAAACGTGATCGATCGCGAAACGGAAGCTCGGGACGGTCGTTTTTAATCGCACGTGACGATGAAACGCTGATAAGCCGGGCGTAAATCGTTCGGTTACAATGCTCACCGTTCCTAATCGCGACATCCAACGCCTCGATTACAATACCAACGACTCGTAAGCGATACGGCAGTCGTGTATTTAATTCCGGGTGGATGTAAGCGTCAAGTGTTCGAGACTCCTGTTTCAATCGAACGCGTGTTTTTACGGTCTCGTGTTTCCACGGCGATATCGCGCGTCAACTTTTTAAACAAAACAAGCCACGGGTCGTGTACGACAGAAAGCAAGCATTTACACGACGCGACGTCGACGAGCGTCATTTCCAGGCTTCCGGTCCGTCGAATAACATTCGAATTGCTCTTTAAACAGAGGCACGAGTCGTATGTGCTCTTTAAACAGAGATTTTTCTTCGTTGACGTAACCGCGTTAATCGATGACGAATAAGAAAATCTGGTCCTGAGCTGACGGAAGTGTATGCATATTTCAAATACGGAACACGTTCGAATACGCTTAAACTAGTTCTTCGATGTTCCCTCGCTCTGTTATTCAAGAGCGCTTCATTGTCAGCATGAAAAATCCCTCGCGAGGAACTTCTGCTCTTATACCGTCGTTACTTCGTTTCTCCGATATTATTCCTCTCTTGTATTTTAAAGCATTTGCACGCTAAAAACGTAATACGAGGGAATAAGGAATATGGAGGGCATAAGGCGCTTATGTTTCACTTATTCCTCTTGTGTTTGTTACGTCCGCTGGGAGACGCGTAAGAACCTCTCGTCGCGCTCACAGGCAATGATGTATTTATGTGACACATCAATTTAACATATCTCAAATAGATTTTCACGATCGTCATGAGATATAAAAATTTTGAAAGAAAAATTTCAGCACTGCGTAGCTTCCCAAAGAACTTATTTTGAGGGACATAATATTAAATTCTAATTCTATTCGAATAAAAAAATTGAGAGAAGCAGCCTCATTACTTAATTTACACACTTTGTAAACTATATCCGAATCTACGTTTCATATAGACAAACGGTAACTCCCCACTCTGTCGTCTAAAATCCCCCGATTCAGTAATGCTGTTCATTGTACTGCTGATCGATCTCGTCAACAGGTGTTGTATCTCTCTCTGCCGAACTTACCCGAGATTTTTGACAGTGACGTTCGCGCGCCGTGACGCGCATCGTCGGCGCCTCGTCGTTTCCACGGTGCTCCACGGCGACCGGTCATTCCCCGATTTTCGTGAACGATCCATGGAGATTTGTTCCGAGGCTCAGGCCATCCTGGACACGAGAAGTACGAGATGATACGTTAAGGGCGAAGCTCATTAACACGGGAGGCCGAATAATATAGATACAGGGTAACGTGAGAAGAAGACGGAAGGCGGTGCGAGTAAATGGATATCGTGCGCGGAAATGCAACGAACGCCTTTAGACCGGTTAAGCTCGATCGCCCCGAGTCGGAGGCTCCTCCGGTCCGAGCTGACTTTTATACCTTCCCTAGCGCGTATAATAAACTCTTCTGCCGCGCGATTTGCCTACGTAATTCCATCATTTTCCTGCCCGGGAATTTTCTTCACCACTGTTCGCCGTTCTGGTGACCGCTCGTTAAAACCGATCGCGAGAGGAATTACGCGGCGAGAGAAGATCATCGCACGTCCGGGAAGTTGAATTATTGCGGAATTACGAACGAACGAGGTTGCTTTCCACGAGGTTTCAGCTCGCCGGAGGAAAACGATCCGTGCTCGTCTCAATTATGGGAATCTTCCGGAACGCGTTACGAAAATAAAACTCGTCCTCGTGCGAGGATAATTTAATGGACGATATATTAAGTCACTACTCGGCTGTAAAAAGAAACTGTCCATATTAGCGAGTATACTGTTGACCGCAACGGAAGACGAGTGCGTTTCATTGTATGAACAGCTGGCAAGTATTACACGTGTCTCGTCTCGCGGGTTCTGTTGCTGTGAAAACGTGAACGCGTTCTAACAGCGAAATTTGAAAATCGGCGATGATGGTCACGCGTTTATTAATAATTCTAGTTAGAGAGGTAGATTCCGATAGTTGCGCGATAAGGCAGATTTATAATAAAAAATATGGGCTTGTGTCATTCGATTCTACGTTTTTATTTCTTAGAGAATTAAGACAAAATTCGTTTTCACGTTGCGTTTGAGGTATATTCCAGACTATGTCGATATTTAATAAATTAGATGTTGTGAAGTGAACCAAAAATCATAGTTAGTATGCAATTTTATATCAACCAGGAATTGTTCTGGATAAAATAAAGACCAGGACGGTGTATAACACTATTTCTACTGAAGGTGTCAAAAACAACTTTTGAAACTCGATTAAAACTATTATCATTACTTTAATCGTTTTCCTTGTTTATTAATCTTTAAATTTAATTTGATTTAATCGATTAATTTAGCGAACATTATGAGCAAAGTCAACAATTCAATTGAGGAAAAGCAATTAAACTTTATAATTTAAAGAGAAAGTTTCAAAAGGTGTTTTTGAACACCTTCGATAGAAACAGTGTTAAAAAATGTGATAAAAAACCTGTGACCGACATTTGAAGCGATAAGTTTTCAAGAACAATGACATTGACGTAAACCTATATTCTCCACTATTTTTGCCTGATTATCAATAAAACACCTGGAAACCTCCAAAAGTTATCGTCCGTTTATTTAGTGTAGTCACCGAACTACCCTATCACGACACTTGGAGCGTTATCCTCTTATTTTCCTTCTCACGATTTTTCCTACGAAACTGAAGAAAAAACATTTCTTCACGTTACATCTCATCTCTCTCGAAAATAACTCAATTGACGGTAATTGAATGAAATTCTTCGGGGGTTTCACACGCGAAGGGGATTCCACAAATAGCGTCGTGCACCAAAAGATCTTTCAACGTACCGTTCGTCGTGGCTCGTTTAAACAATTCCATTCATTAGAAGCGGCAGGTGAACTGGCGCGAGCTCGGTGCACGTGATACGACACATTTCCCAGCGAAACACGGGTCGCCTGCGGGCGGAAAGAAAAACGTCGGCTTCGATCTCAATCGCTACTTTCTCTATGTACATGCCACTGTTCAACGAGATCGAGAAACCGATACTGACGGCGATCAATTATTACCGGTTCACGTTCACGGTAGTCGAATCCCGGACGGATTCGTCCTCACGCGATTTCCGGAGAACGCGCGGAACCGGCACTGAAACTAGCCGTGAAAGAAAACTCGCGGGAAATGCGAAAGAGATGGTCCGGTGCGCGATCAACCGGCAAGGGAACTCCGAAGAGGGAACCGAAGAGCGGACGCGGACTCACGTTTGCGCGCTCACGGGCTGGCGCAGTCGCGACAGGAATGATAGTGGCGAAAGTGGGAGACCCTCCGGGAAATATATAGGTTCGCAGGGTGGTGGTGGATGGGAGGAGGGACGGCCGGACGGACGCATCCCCGTGCACGCACGCACACCAGCCGTTCGAGCCACGCACGTGTCTTCACGCACCAGCCGGTGCACGAAGATGCGACGGCATCCCCGAGGAACGGACGACTGGTTCCCGAATTTTTCATAGTCACACTTTTTTCTTCGTCGAGAGTCGTTAATCGATGCCGATCGAGGTAATACAATGATTCTCGAGTACCAGCATGTAAATCCTGAATGTATAAACGATAGATAGCGGAAGGACGATGCGTTGTACTTGTGAATACTTCGCACGTAGGTGCGAAACTCTCATTTGTAAATGGCGATGGAGTAAAACAGGATGAATCAGTGATAAACGACCCCCCTTGATTGTTGGCATACGTCAAAGATATTTACGTACCGCTTTGATAAAGCGCACGCGAGGTATGGTACGTAGTACTTACATAGGTACACGTGAAACGAACGCGTTGGGATAACTAGTATCGTTCAACGAACATCTGTAACGTAGCTCCCACGGCCCTGACGATTTCCGATCGGTGTCAGTCCGAGAAACCAAGAACGTTTCGTATATCGGATAGACATAAAGAGGCTGTGCATTTTTATGCAAAATAAAACGCGTGCATCAGTTTAAAAAATATATTTCTTGGGTAATCATATTCATTTTATCGTTTAACCATTCCAGAGCCGAGTTGAGCGACTGCAACTCTGATAAAGCATTTCACAGACGCATGGTTTAACCCTTTCCACTCCAAGCCTTTATTGGTTAATGATATTGTAAAATGGACGTTAGTTGTTTATTTGCAGATGTAACACAATTTCGTCACAATGAAAATGAACTTCATATGTAAAATAGTAATCCTACATAGCCTTTAATTCGAAGTTCTGGATAAGTCGAATCGAAGAAGTATTACACTATGTCGAGTGTCACTCGACAGTGGAGTTGGTGGAACAAAATCAATGTCGAGTGACACTCGACATTGGAGTCGAAAGGGTTAAAAACGCATTAATACTATGATTTCTGTTTTTATCTCTCTAGGAGCATCGTTAGTATCGCGTATATGCGTTCATAGCCGAAACTGAATGGTTGCGTGAGAACACATAAATGAGTTCACAGCCCATGGTGGACGATTTTTCGGAACGCATACATGGATTCATAGCACTGAAAGGGTTAAACGCATGCAGTTTTATGCATTATATACAGCGTTTATATTTTTTAGCATATTTTATGCACTTATAAATGCATAAAATCTGTTCTCTAGGTATAACACTGTAACCATCCAATGATTGTACCGTCGATGACACGATGCCCCGAAGCTCACTTTACTTGTCCTGGTCGCATTTTTCATTTTTAACTCGGGACTTCATACATACGTGTAATTTCAACTTGACGAAATGCGTACGACTTTATACAAAATAGTTGCCCGCCTCGAACTACGTAACTACATACATTCACGTTCGATGGCGATTGATGAAACGTTCACGATATGTTTATTCATTTTTTCGTCGATAATCAGTCACTTAATATGCCGCGCGAACTCGAAATACCGATAGAATTATTGCACTCTCGAAGTCCGAATCGTCGGCCGCGCCTCGTAATATGTAAGTATGTAAGTTAAAAAAATTAAATTCTACTCCTACTTAATATTATCTATTCGCAACAATTTTGTTCACAATTAGACTTGTAAATGAAGCAACCAAATTCTACTTCTACTTGATATTTTCTATTCGCAACAAGTTCGTTCACAATCAGATCTGCAGTCACGCCGTGACTGTAATAAAACGTACTTCATTAATTCATGCGACGTTGTTGCACGACCTGCCCCTTAACGTCTCGAGGCTCGCTCGTCATCTCGAAGAAATTTATTGCAACTCGTTCCGTGTATTCTCTGCAATTGAACGATGAAACGACGACGTGACGAAATGAAATTAAATCCCCGATACCGAGTCAGACCGATCCGTTTGGTCAATTGAAATTTTGTACAGTACTCAATTTAAATCGTAGTATTTAGTACGAAACTTCGAAGGAATTATAGACTGTATATCGTGCGTAGGTATTTTGCGAAAAGGGGTCGATCGATAATGATTTCACGATCGATTTTCATTGACCGCTTCGTTCGGCTCGTAGTACACACGTACACGCGTGAAACAAGTATCCTAACTATCGCTACACGATGTCAGACGAAACTGGAAGAAAAACCGACTGGTTGCAACTCCCATTAACCTCATTGAGAGAAACTTATGATCGTCGACTAGCAGTGCTCGCCGTTGGAGCTATTATCATTTTCAGGAGCCGGCTACGCTACCGAGAAACGTTCACCGCTCGGCATTGTGCCGATACGCCAATACGTTCAACGATACTACAATTAGTAATTAGCCGGCGATCGCAGGCGCGTCGACCGCGCAAAGGACCCGTGGCGAAGCGGTGTTTCCGTCGATCCAGAAACGTGGCCTCTCCACTCTTTAATTGCCGGTTAATTATAAGATTATCGTTATCGTCGAAACGCCCAGAAGAGAGCGTCGGATCTGTCGTGAGAGATCCACGGGTGGGGAACGGAGAGAGAAAGAATACGTCTCACGCGCTATCTACGGAGCGAGAAGTGGGTCCCCTTCGTGTACCACGGTTCGTTATTTTTCTCCCCTTTTCTTTTGTCGCTGTTCCTTTTTACCGAGGCATACCCTGTTCAACGCTTTCGTCGAATTACACGCCGTGACCTATAATTTGGACACTATTTCACATGCCGTAAGCATGCAATCACGAAAAGGTGTTCCCTTTTGTAAGTGGTTCCACCTAGATGAAGAATTTATCGGCTAACAGCCCTTCCACGAGATTATAATACACGGTACATACACACGAGATCCGATCGGATCTGCGTGTAGTCCGAGGATCTCGCCGAGCGTCATAATGCACCGGAGCGACTTTCTTCCTTCGCCCGTTCCCCTTTACCTTTCTCTCTCCCTCGCCATTCCCTTTCCGTCGTGCGCACACCATCCTCGAAATACTTTTATTTTCTTTCCCTCTATTGACCTCTACCCGGGATAAAATTTCCATGATTTCACATAACACCGACGAGAAAACACTTTGTTATTCAAATATCGCGTCGAACACCTTCTGTCGAATTTAATCCGACCCTCGAACTTCCCTGTACGCGACTACACCTCTCGGAACCGATCTAGTCAATAAAAGAAGTAACGTTCCCTTTGTGGCAACGCGACGAGACAAACAAGCTGATTCCGTATACTTTTCATCGAAATTCATAAATACGAAGCATCTGTACATATCGAATATCATGAACCAACCGCGGCTGCACTCGCGTAAAAACATTCGAATTGACAATTCGCAGATGGATACAATGTTCCCCAGACCTGGCTGGACGAGTCGTTTACATAAAGCAGATACGCTCTGAAAATCTTTCGCGTTTAAGGTTCGATCTAAGGCCGGCTAATCTTGACATTCAGCAATGCGCTCTGCGTCATCGCCATTGAATTCGTCTGCATATAGGCACCTGCTTAAGTACGTATGTACAACGTGTTATAAGCTCGAAACGATCTCCTCGAACCACAAATTCATTCTCTGACGCGAGAATCGCATAAGTACATATAAGACAAATAACCCAATGTCTATTCAACTATGATTTCATTGACCATAATTTACACATCAACTGAACATAAAAAAATAAAGTTTAAGTCAAAATTTATATCTCTTCCTTTTTATTCTATGAATCACATCTTTCTTTGATACACAATCTCTTAAGAATTTATGATACAATTTTTTATGTACATAATAAAATAAAACATTTGAAGAAATAAAAACTTCGAATACAGATTTAAACTCGATGAGTGAAATGATAGTAATGTCAATAAAAATGTCATCTGCGTATTTTCTTCCCATGGTTTCCGTCGTAAAGGGAGATAAAATGACGTAAGTAATTGCGCGTATGACAGAGGGAAAGATGCATAAACGAGGAAGCAAACGACTATTCGAGCATTGTCGTTTAAGTCTACGGTATTGAACCGCGGGCAACGTAATCACTGTTATTTCATCGTGAACAGTAATGCCCCGGCTTAAAGCCGCCCTACTTATACGCATTACCCGGCCGAGAGCAACCCCGGGCAATCGTCGTTCTCGAGCGTCATTACGAAATTGCTTTGGCAAATGAAATGCGCGCGCGGTTCCGCGTCAGTACGAGCGATCATCTCAAATTGAGATTTATTGGAAAATCGAGCGTCCCGACGTATTCGTAAATAACTCCGAGAGTCTCCTGTGTCCATTTATCGTGTTGCATAAATCTCATCACGATTATTGTTTCTGCTAGTCATGTTGCCTCCTGCGCTTCTCTTTGCAACAAGTTCCAATCGGTTAAATGCTTTCCAGTTTCATGCCTCCTTAAACTTGTCCATGCTCGATGCTTCGTCGAACGAGTGTCTCTCCTTCCAATGTGCATACGGACGATAACGTATTATTGCGATTCACCGAACAAAACAGCTTTCCTGTATCTGGTTACATCGAGGAAACTCGATTGCACTCGTAGCCGGTAGCTGATCGAACATATTGACTGCTCTCTGAGCTTGTCGCGATGATGTCGAACGCGCGACAAGAGGGTAATGGTGATAGGCTATTTGACCAAGCGAGCGTTTTTTCAAGAGTTGCCATAACTCGCCTTTATGATAAACGATACACGCGTAAACATGGGCCGTCTGTCACATTTTAACTCATCAGATACGTCGCCTAGTGCCACATTTTCCATCAGCCGGGAACGACTCGTCGTCGAAAATTAATATAACAATTTCATAGGAGCTGAGTCGTTGATAGGTCCAAGAGAAAATGTAAGTATTAACGATGAATACTGGGACAAATCGAGAATTTTTTTTTAAAAAATCATCGACGAACGTAACGGTCACGGCTGTTTGGAGTACGGAGATAAAGGCAGTAGTAACAACAGCGGTGCTATCTGAACGGTGTGTCGTGCTAATTCGTTAATGAGACATCCTGGCTGGTACGCATTTTAATCAGTTTTCAGCATGCTGATAACGAGTTATTATTAAGTGGCCTTCGGGAGAATGGTCACCGTGTGGTTCATCGCACGAGTTTATCACGTTCGCTTGTCAAGGATCGCTTTAGAACGCGGCAGAAATTTGTATCAGAACGCGAAACAGTTTGAGTAAAATATTGGCTAATTAAGATTAAAAAATATTTCTTTTTTTGCAACAATAAATTTAGCTTTGATCGACGTTTGTCTGTATAAAACCATGAAATATGGTCTGCGGAGGAACGAAGCTGACGCGGTACGACGTTTCTTTGTTCAGCCCCGGAATAAGAAATAACGCGATGCGAAGACGTTCGTGATTCTCGTTTGGCTAGGGTTGAAAATGAATTTATGAGGCCGTAATCGCCTCAATTGAGATGAGCACTTGGTGTATGCCATGCGATCGACCGGGCTGGAAGCTTGCGCGCCGATACGTTGCGCTCTCTCCGCATGTTAGGAACTCCGCGGCAACGATGCGCACAGTTCATCGTAAAATTACGCGAAAATTAGCCGGTACTCCATCGATCCCGTCCCGATATTCGAGCCGATGCGGTGAGCGATCGATCGATCGGCAACGATTTGTTTGCTCGCATTTAACGCGCGACGCAGCGGCATTCCATTCATATTGAAACGTCGAGAAAACGAAAACGAACACCCATCGATTTCAGCTACTACATTGATATTATAAATAATTTACTTTGTATGAAGATCCGCATATCAAAAATTGTTTAAATTCCAATGCTTTGTCGTTGTCTTTATTTAAGGGCTCAACTTTAAATTGAACTAAACCATTATATGTGGTCTAGGCATTCAAGATGTTTTCTTCCGAATGGTAAATCCATCGACAATACAACTTTCGGTCAGTCTTACAATGAAAATTCACGACACCGTGTGCGTGAAAACCAGCGCGTTTGTCAAAGAGCTTAGCACCTCGTACTTTATTACGGACGTAGTCGATGGGTCCCATTGAATAGTTCTCGTCGACGATCAGAGGGATCACGGATTCAGAAAATATTTGTGCTTTCAATGGAACACGCATTCTATGCAATGAAGGCATTCCTCCTTTTTCCTCGTTGCTCCAGAAAATAAATCGATACAACGTCTCGTGTAAAGGACAGGTTTTTCCAAAACTCGCATAGAGACGACGACAACAATGAAGACGACGCACGGTGCGACCTAAACGCGAACAGACCGGATGTTGCGTCATAGTGGAACGGGGGCATTTAAGAATTTTTCAAACCGTTGGGCGTGGGTCGTTCTTGATGAAATTGTAGGTTCGCCCGTTCAGTGATTCTCGTAACGGTTTAATCTGTATGAGTTGCTGTTCCTCTTCCGTTAAGGAAAAGTGAAAAACGAAGAACAATGCGAATCATTAACCATGTTGGCTCCAGCGCGGATGAGCATGGATTAAATCGGATGTTGCGAATAGATTTTTTGGCCGGATCGACATTGCAACGGTTTCTCAAGTAATTGACGCGCGTATTTACGTTCTCTTGTGCAAGTGAGATCACGTCGTAATCATGGGACAGCGTTCGGAGGAACAATTTGATTGACTAGTCAATGGAAAGGGACACTTGTTTATGCAAAAGGAAGCTACGTCCCGCGAAAAGATCCACGCCGAGAAGAATAAAATATCTACGGCGCGCGGCATGCTCGCAATGAATCGATGGATGATTGAACGCAATTCTATAGGATGGGAGTGGCCAGTGAAACTCTTTCTGAACGGAAAAGGCGCATCCTGTGCCCTGACAACTGACAGTTGACAATGTACTGGATCCACGGGTATGATTGCCCGCACCTACGCATTTTTCGGCGATCACGAAGTCGTTCACGAGATTTTCGGGCGCCCGGCGAAATTTAATAAAACTATTGATACTTCTTGCTCATCAGACTATAAATAATTATAGGAAATTCCTATGTCCTATCATGGACTTTGTATAGCTTTGGAATAATACATCAGCCATATTTCTCTCTACAAAATATGTCATTATCTTATATTTTTGCTATCTTTGCAGAAAACACGAGAATTCTCGTGATCCGATCAATGTCTTAATATTCCTCGTTAAGGATTCCTGAAAATTAGACTTAAGACTAGGATTTACGAGGAGTGAGAGGAAAGAGAGAAGAGTGAGTGTCTTCAGAGGATTAGGACGTGTGCTTCGTGTTGAGGCAGCTAACTGAAATAAATTAGAGAAAGATCATTTGTATAGTGATAGTTTCTATTAAATATAATATTCTACTCAATTCAAAGATATTTTATTAGTTTAAATTGATTTGTTGACGAACGAGCTCCGGCAATCTGCCCTATCTTATTCCTAACACCATTGAAACGTTAACATCCTCTTTTCTTTATCTCGATTTCAGTTTTGATCGTAAAATACTCTAAAAACTTGTCGATCAAATTCATAATCTTTTACATACGGGATCGCGAGGAGAGTAAACACCGTGGGGTGCATTCAACCAAGGAAAGGAATAAGGTGACATGCAGAAAAGAAAGGAATAGTTCTGAATCGCGTATTAGACTCGAAGGGTGTAAATCAAGCGTCTGTGACGTGATAGAGATAAATTGATACTCGATAGTCATGATATTCGTCGGTGCACGAGGCACGATTAGAAACATTTTGTTCACGACGTCTCACGCTGATAATCCTATTTGGTCACCTTCGCGATCACAATAGCGATGCTAATAGCGATATTGATACCTATACATAGGCGACTCTGTGATACCTATTGTATGCGAGCAAGATGGCTCAACAAAATATTTAAGTATTTTAAGCCTCTTTATCACAGGCGTCAACGTTATCAAGTATGTATTTTACAGTTACATACTAATTCTATCTTTTACATATATGTAGTTATTGTTTTCAATTACGTAAACTAAATATAATGATAAAAATATGTAATGACAGTCGTTCACCCTAAAAAAATTATTGTGATTGCGATCGGGATGAGAAACCGTGGACGTGGAGGATGTAGCATGAGTGATCTCATAATAAATTCGCCATATTATTAATTGTACGCGGGCTCTAATTTAAAAGGTCTTATAGGTCGGTATTTAGAGTCGTTACTTATATTTAAGATCGCCTTAAGCATTTGCTTAAGTCCCTGTTTCCTGTACAAGACAGGGACTGGAAATATGGGATAAACAGGGATGGGAAATGCTTAAGACGATCTTAAATATAAATAACGACTCTGAACTGAATACCGGCTATAGACTATAAGATCTTTGGTTAAACAGGCTCAATTCTCAGACTGCGATATATAAAAAAGTTACGTAACTACGTTACTCATTCATATTGACTCTCTTTCATTATAAATATTTTTAAATATAGAGACGAAGTCTCATTCAATTAACCCGCCATGTTGTTGGTTGGGCGATTTTGTCATGCGCAAGAGCCAAGTATTAGCACACTTTTTGACAGAGTGAGTGTTCCTTCTTATACTGTGCCATGGATCTGAAGTATTATTGTTATTGACCGTGTTATTAGGTTATATAATAAAACTACATTGTTGTTCAATATATTCGTGCTATTAACGAATTACAAACTTTGTCGGAAATGATAGGTACATTGGTCTCCAGTACATATCAAGCCGTTCCGTATGTTATCTGTTTACGAATACAATTAAAATAATATTCTGCTATATTAAGTACTTCAATAGGTTATGTCAAACATGCTTTTGGGATGTTGCCGCATCCCTCGATTTCGTTTTACAGCCGGCTTGCATCATTGGGACAAACCTGTTTATCAATCTTTAACTCGTCAATGATAAGCAATCCATGGAGCCTTAATTTGAGCAGAAATATTATGAGATATCATTTCCCACGTCCTAATGAACGTCGCCGCATTAAACGTCACGGCTGGTTTGCAAGAATGTCGACGCCCAATGGAAGAAAAGTTTTAATGAGAAGAATATTGAAAGGCAGATACGTACTTAGTCATTAAATGTTGTATGTTGGGTAATTAATAAATGATAAAACTGATCCTTTTTTATGCGTATATATTATTCTACAGAAGAAATATTATTTTGCATGAAGTATTTAAACTCAAGTTGCCTACATGTCCATTCGAAATATGGCATTAAAGGTGCTTCTATCGTTAATGTTTCCCCAAAGAATTCAGGTAGAACTACCGACCTTAGATGAATATGTACAGGAATTATAGTCTGGTTGCTAGGCCTTACATTTAACAGTTTGAGTAGCCTCGTATCCAATTTCGGTGGTGCAGGGTGGACGAGAAACGGATCAATTTTTACATAGGTATCCCCGACTTTCTGTATTCGCGACGCACAGGATGAATTGTCTCCGAGAATTGGACTATACAGAAACGTGGATGCAAACAATCTGAGCGTGTGCCTCCTTTCAGTAGACGATTTTATTTGAACCAAAGACGACAAATTGAGAGTGGAATTAGATAACGTCTGAAATTCTGTTTTCACCAGTTTTATTTTACCTAATTTATGCTCACGATTAGTCCACGATTCTGTCAAGACTGTCTAAAAAGTTTTTGAAAAAGAATTAATTATCCGAATAAAAGAATCGATCGATCGACTTACTTTTTTATCTTTAAATTGCGGATTTGATACTAATTTCATTGCCAAGCGGTACTGCCCTTTCAATTGTCTTGGCACTCCAACTGTAATTACCCAATATGTTTTAGCAAAGTAATTGGAACGAATGATTGCAACTTCAATGGCATGTTGAACACGTGCGTCTACTGCTAAAAGTGTGATACCGCTCATGTACCTAATTTAAACAGTTTCTGATATTATAAAGAACATTTTAAATAAGTATATCGGTAGAAGATTCGTATTTACATTTCAGGAGATCTAACTATACTTAAATTCGAATAATTTAATTGGTCAGCAATATATGGCAAAGCATCACTTAGTGTATAATCCACACCGTTTGGTACTCTGTTTCCAGAACTTTTATCAGACATTTCTGGTGCTCTAGGTCTTATTCCATAAGGTTTATTTAATGCTACTAATCCATCTATAAAATGAAGCAAACAGATTTAGCAGTTTAGTTTAACGGATATAAAATTTATATTTTTTATACATAAAACGGGATGATTACATAGAAAAGGTTTATCATAAACGTTACTTCAAGAAGCTTTTGCACTGATCGAATATAATAATGACTAACATGTCATCACCTTTATTGTAAATGACATTCTTCAGAAGATCTTCAGAAAATCCCATTAATGATTTCCACGGATGAATCTGTTTATACGGATGAATCTGTTTATACGGATGAATCTTTTGCTCAGTCCTTTCTTGCTGAACATTACCCATGTAATTTCGTTTAAGTACTTTTATGCACGGAATAGTTATACACACACGTTTAAAAGCACAAAATTTAGGTGTCAAAGTTGCCATTTATGAAATATAAGTGCCTATAAAAGTTTCCAAGTTTAATATTTACTAATACAGCTTTCAATTAACAACTTTTCAAAAATACTGTATTGCATGTATACATTATGTACATATAAAGTGCAGGTTATGCGGGACATGTGTTCATTACGACATTTAAAATAAAGGCAAATCCTCAATTGTAATGTGAATAAATAAATCTTCCCTTATTTATTGCATTTATTTCATTATTTCTTTTTTTAATTTTATGTACATATACGTATTTTCTTTCTCTCCCCTTCCGTTTTTGAAAGTTCACCCGCTCGCCAGCTCGCCAGTGAGTCCATGTCCATGCAGTCCATGCACCGTGCTTCCTTCAGGTTTCAGGTTTCAGGTCCACGACAAGAATTGTATATATATGTGGTATTCATAAGAACGAAACTTGAGACAGTTAGACAGCAGAAAAGCAAAAATGGCAACTACCGTAGACTCGGTTAGGGAAAAAGCCCTTCAAGATTATCGAAAAAAGCTCATAGAGCACAAAGAAGTCGAATCACGTTTAAAGGAAAGTAAGTGACCCATACGATGTATATTAATTTCGCGTGCTCTGCTTGTACAATCTCAACTAATCTACCTAACCTCGCTTTCTTATACCTACAAAAGGCAATTGTTCATTCTTTTAGTGAGAGAGCATCTGAAGGACTTAACGAAACAATATGATAAATCTGAAAGTGACTTAAAAGCCTTACAAAGCGTTGGACAGGTATGTCACAACTTTCGTTTCCAATGTGCTGTTTCATCACAGCCTTGTACTAATATAAATAATACTTTTATTTCAGATCGTTGGAGAAGTATTAAAACAACTTACAGAAGAAAAATGTAAGTTTAAGAATTAAAGTATACAATCTTTAAAGTAGTGCATGCTTAAATATCCTTTATTATCTGTATCAATTCTAACAAAATCCTTAGAGCGAGTTGCAAGTGTATATGAAACTTAGTATTGAGAATACTTACAGACATCCTATCTCCTTTACCCCATCAAATTCTCATAAGTAATCTGCACCCTTAAGCATGTGCATTCCATCTCGATATGCACTATTGCAATTCCTTTACTTATACATGTAATAAATATACAAATAGAGATTTTCCCATTTACAGTTATAGTAAAAGCAACGAATGGTCCACGTTATGTTGTTGGCTGTCGACGTCAACTTGATAAAAATAAGCTGAAATCTGGAACGCGAGTAGCTCTCGATATGACTACTCTTACTATAATGCGTTATTTACCGCGTGAGGTAAAATTCATATCAGTGGAAATCAGTATTATATTTTAGCAAAATATTACGTAAATTCTTATTAAATTATATTTAGGTCGATCCACTGGTTTATAACATGTCACATGAAAACCCTGGTGACGTCACTTACGGCGCGATTGGTGGTTTGAGTGAACAGATACGTGAGTTAAGAGAAGTTATAGAACTGCCGTTATTAAGCCCTGAATTGTTCCAACGAGTGGGAATAACGCCTCCAAAGGGATGTCTTTTATACGGCCCGCCAGGAACTGGGAAAACGTTGTTGGCTAGGGCAGTTGCTAGCCAGTTAGATGCGAACTTCCTAAAAGTTGTGTCGAGTGCTATCGTTGACAAATATATTGGTGAATCGGCAAGATTAATTAGAGAAATGTTCAATTATGCGCGAGATCATCAGCCTTGTATCATATTTATGGATGAGATCGATGCTATTGGTACGAAGAAAATCATGACAGGAAATAGAAAGCGAAGATATAGAACGGAGTGTATTCTGAATCTTACATTTTTATACAGGTGGACGTAGATTTTCGGAAGGTACAAGTGCCGATCGAGAAATTCAAAGGACATTAATGGAATTATTGAATCAAATGGATGGCTTCGATTCATTGGGTCAAGTTAAAATGATAATGGCCACGAACAGACCAGACACATTAGATCCAGCCTTGTTACGGCCGGGTAGACTGGACAGAAAAATTGAAATTCCGCTGCCTAATGAGCAAGCGCGTTTAGAAATTTTAAAAATCCATGCTGCCCCTGTATCTAAACATGGAGAGATCGGTATGTTTCATTACTATTATATCTACTGTCTATTTTAATTTCATACGATTTCTAATGTTTTCAATTAAATTTAGATTATGAAGCAGTGGTTAAACTTTCTGATGGATTCAACGGTGCCGACTTAAGGAACGTTTGTACCGAAGCAGGATTGTTTGCAATAAGATTAGAAAGGGAATATGTGATACAGGAAGATTTTATGAAAGCAGTGAGAAAAGTCTCTGATAATAAGAAACTTGAATCCAAGTTAGATTACAAGCCCGTTTAATTAACATGCGTACATTGATTATATCGAATTTTAAATTCAGTTCATTCGCTAAACAGTGTATGGGTTAATAAAACCAATGTATTGTACTGTAATGCTATTTGTATTTTATAACAAAAAAACACACATGAAACTTCTATTAAAAAGAAAAATTCGTTTCTAATCAATATTCTCTCCTCATCCATCGACTATGCTCGTAAGACGGGTTTTTTTACGTTGCAGATATTCTTGAACATTGTCGTATTTCCTCTTGTACAAAATTGAAAATAAATTTTGTTGAGTAATATCTTTTTTCAGTATCTTCCAGTAATCGTTTAATTTACGTATTTTATTTGTTTCGTCGCATAACACAAATCTATCGTCTTTAAATTCGTACACTTTAAATCCGAGATCATTTAATAACCACATATTATTTTTGTAAAGATGATATTCTATTGGTTCATACTCCATAATTATGGATTGTACGTATGCTGCCAATACATTCAAATTGGACATACTACTAATTTTGTATACTAATAATAAAGAACTATTATAAAAGCTTATTACAGCTAAAGACGAAGATGCGTCGAACAACGAGAGCCTTAAGTACTTCACAGGCAGCTCTTGGACAGATTCGTCTAAGTTGCAGTCACGAAGTTGTTCGTTGAACCTCTCGATATCATTCGTGGGTATTTTATCATGAAAATCAATGCATAATAATTCTTTACCAACCCTGTAATCCCATAGTATGAACACACCATCTCCTCCACAAGACATCAGCACACTTTTGTCGTGAGGTAGTTCGACAACATTGGTTACGAATTTTTTATGTCCTAAGCAATAAGACACGATGTTATACGAATTTGGGAACATGGATACTCTGATTTTCTCATCTCTGTCCGTTGTAATAATGTATTCTTGATCTTTCGTAACTAACACGTCCAGTATCATAGACAAATGTCCTAAGAGTAGGGATCCGTTATCCGACTGTTTTCCAGAAAAAATATAAACGTCTCCCGTTTTGTCTGCCACAACAATGTCATTGTTTGACGTGAATTTCACTTTGCTAGCCGCTCGAGGCAGTGTTTTATTTAGTAACAGATTCTGATTCTTTCGTTCGTACAGACATAACTGTTTACGATTTGTGCATATCAAGAAATATCTACCGTCGTTCGAAAACGTCACATTCGTGATCGTATGAAAAGTCTCAATGTTTATATTATTGTGCAAATCAACTTTCTTGTCACTTTCCAGTTCGGGCAAATTAATTATTTTTTCCCTTTCATTGTCGATATTGTATATTATAATTTGTTCATTATTGCATAAAATAACATCCGATTCGCATATAGAAAAACTCATAATTGATGAACGAATCTTCGTCAGAAATGTTTATATAAATGCAGTTGTATTGTATACCTATAACTGCGTGCCACTGCGTGCACCATTGAGCTCGACCTAATTGAGCTCTATACCTAACCTATCTAACTGGACCCTGGAGTGCGAACCTAAGAACAAGTAGCACCAAGTAGACCTGAGTGAGAGGGAAAGCTATGGCACTACAGCTACAGCCTACAGCTCCAGTGAATGAGTGAATGCGTCCTTCTTTTACGTCTTCTACGTCCTTTTTCTTCTACTTCCGCGTCTACCATCCCTCTTTTACTAATTTTCACCCAGCAGGTGCTGCCGCCCATACAGAATTAATTCCACCGGTTCCACCGTCTTCCGGTGTTAGATGGGACTGCAACGTCAATTTGCTTTTTGATTAATAATCAATATTCATTGAACGAGGCTACGAAATGAAATCATCATCGGATAAGTTAACAATCATCTACGATTTAATAAGAAATACGAAATATGACTTACGATGTGTATGGCTATTATGTATCTGCAACTTGTAATAAACTAATCTTAACTTCGAAATAGAAATCAAAGGAATAGTTCATATAAATTATTTCACTTTTATTTATTTATTACACGGGTTTATACATGGAAATATATAACGAATA